TTTTTATTTTATATTCAATATGCAATACATATCATAAATTTCAAATTTGAAATTCAAATATCAAAAAATACATTTATATGACTATCACAAAGAACAGCGTTTGTGCATATCATACATATTCAATATTTTACATTATTTGTTCCATGAAATGATGTTGGACAGAGTTTCAGAATTTCAAAACTTCTATTATTGACTAATAATAATTTATTGGAATGTTCAATTTCTCTCAAAAGCTATTCTTTGTTGTATTTTAGCTTTTCTATTTTAATTTCACCGATTTCTACGAACTCATCTTTAATATGAATCAAAATCCACAATAATAATTCTAAATAAATTTTCTCATGTATGAATAACTTGTACCAAAATGAATCGATTTGATCTTCATTATGAATTGGAAATTTTATTCTAATCATAGAATAATTTGTGACATAAATTGCTTTATCGAATTCACTTTCATTGCGAAACTAATTCTATAATTATACATAGTTCACAATAGAATGAAATTCACGATTGTATTTGAGGATTATGAATTTTTTTAGAAATTATTGTCATATTTGAGTATTAGATATCTTATAAATCGATAAATCAGATTAATTTTGATAAAATTTTGTTTATTATCCTTATTCTCTTTTTTACATTTTATTTTTTAATATTTATTAATTCACATTCATTTAATAATTTGTTTAATTATAACAATGATATTATAGTAATTGTCTAATTAATTATTGTGTCAGTTATCTGGAAGTAGATGATTTAAGAATTGTTAATGGATTTTTTTATCGATTTTATTTAATTTATTGATTTATGAAAAAGACGCATGCAATAATTGAAAATAAAGAATTAAGAATTTTTTATTATTATGATATAAATATAGCACAGCTGTCTAATATAATCTATTGAAAAATGTTTAATTCGTTGGAAATTTTCGACAATTAATGCAAAATTGCAAATAATATGACACTGAACAATAATAATTTAAACAATCATATAAAGAAAAAAATAATTTTTGCACATGATTATGTGTTGAAGATAATGTACTTAAAACTCAAAAGAATATATTTTATCAATATCAAAGCATTTTGAAAATTTGTATGATACAATATATAACATTTTAAATAAATTCTTAATTTTTTCACTCTTATAAGCGATTAAAGTTTCTTGCTATGAAAAATTAATAAATGGGCAATAATGATGTAAAAGATATAAAATAGAAATGGCTTTTCTAAAAAAAAAAAACTTGTATATAAAGTTAATATAAATCAAGTAAAGTAAAGTAAATAAAGTAAATAAATATGAAATAAGGCTTTTATTTAAATATGAAACTAATTAATAAAGTAAAAAAAAAAAAAAAATATCTCTTTTTAAATACAAATATTTCCTTAAAAAAAGTATTATGAAAATATATTTTTAAAGCATAAGAACACAAATTTGCACATAAATTGTATATTGATTAATTGTATATTGTATATTGATATAACTTCTGATTTCAAAAAAATCAGACGATCAGATTCACGATAATGAAAGATTAAAGATATTAACAATAATTAGTACAATAATCATTAATAAAAGATTCTTTATTAAAAGAAATTCATTAAAAAAAAATGAAAATATTTAACAAGATCCTCAAAAAGAAAGTTCTTGAAGAAGAAAAATAATTTTTTAAAAATTATAATTATAAATATATAATATATAATAAAACATTGAAGTATTCATAATGTTAAATTTATATTATATTTTCTTTATTTTCTTATTTTTGAAGTTAATAGAAAACAATATATATTGATATTGAAAAATTGATTGCAAAATGTCACCAAAATTTTTCAATTTTGACCAGTATACTTATGTTATAATATTCTTCGACAATCACGAATAGAATTATGACATAAATATACAGTAGTCGGAATTATCGAAGGGTTTCATCTTGTAATTCGAGAACACATTTGATGATCAGACTTTATGTTTTTCTTTTATGATTTCTATTTCTATTTTAATTTTAATTTTTATTCTATTATTATATTTTTCCAATTTCATTTTCATTTTCATTCCCATTTCAACTTAAACAAACAATGCAAAATGTAATTGATGTTTTATCATATTTCTGGAAATCGACTTCTAAGAAACGCATTCTAATTCGTTTAGTCAAAGTTTTAATATCTTATTTATATAAAAAGAAACTAGCTAAGAATAAACAAAATAAAAAAGAATATTCAAAATCAAGAAACAAAATGCATTCTTTGGAAAGCTTCGAAGAAAATTGGATCAAGTGTAATAAATGCAAAGATGAACAACATGTTAGATATTGAACTACATGCTCATAATACTGTGATGTTTGTAATGCAAAAAATTAAATAAAGAAGCGATGAAAATCTAGTCCAAGATCCGAGATCAATTTTCGAGAAAATAAAAAACTTTATTATATTGTTATTTTGTTATATTATTATTTTGTTATATTATTTTTTTTTTGTAAAATTATTTAAAAAATGTTTTATTTTTAATTATTATATAAATTAAGAAGTTCTTAAGTTTATATTTTAAAAAAAATTTAATTAAAATTTATTAATTATATACATACATTTTTTTGTGTTTCTTAAATATCCAGAGTTATTCGCCTTTCCCTTATCTCACATACAAATCATTAGAATACTAGAGAATTAATTAATAATAGAGAAATATATTAAATATGAAAATACAAAATTTCTCTAATTCTAAAAAATACAAAATTCTCTAAAAAATAACAGATGTGTCTTAAATATGAATTTGTCTAGTATATTACATTAAAATAACACATCTGTATATAAAGTTGTTGTTTTATATAGAAATGTCTGTCTAATAGAAAAACATTTTATGTTATTTTTATATATTAAAGCAATTAGATCAATAAACCCAATAATTAATATATTAGAGTATTCTTTTCTATACATTGGTTTATAAATCATTCATTCAAAATAATAATAGTTTTTGCGTTATATTTACTTAATATTTATAATTATTACTTATTATGTTTGAAAATATTAAAAAAGTAACCACAGATTTTATCGATAAAGTAGATTTCTCTCATTTAGATCTCTGCAGCATCTATTGATCGAATAATATTAATTCCATCGATTATCTTTTATTAGATTTTTTTTTAGCATGTGAATTGCATGTGTATTAAAACTTTTGTTAAAATCATTATCTTTTTTTTTTAATAAATATTTATTAAATAAATATGTAAATAGCTGATAATAGAAAAATCTATAAGATTTATATATTTAATTGGATTAATTAAAAACAATATTTATATTTATAAACATATTTCATCTTAACAAAGTTTTACTTTACTATTATATATATCAATTATATAAAATGATATTGCACCACAATTTAATCGAGTAACAACATAATTTTTAAATATACGATTTCTAAATAAATAAAAATCCTATTTCCAGCATTGCTATTTTTCTAACTTAAATTCAATGGAAAATTTTTAAAACTTATAAAATTATTTGAAATATATTGTATATTAAATATTTATCAAAATATTTCAATCATTTGATTATTAATGAACAATATTTATTAATTTTTTCAAATTAAAAAACTTAATTTGAAAATTAATGACTGAACATAGATGACAAAAAATAATAAAATTAAATAATATTTACAACAGGTCTTTTTATAGAATATAAATTAGATAGATAGAAATGTATCAAATTTTTAAATTCTGAATTTTTCTTATTGGAAAATCTCTTTCTATTTTTAATTGGACAAATTTTGGTATCTAAAAAATTTGTTAAAGGACGAGCAAAAATCACGATATCATGCATAATAATAAATAATATAAAAATAAAAATTAAAAAAATACGAATAGTGAATACTATAACATACTATAAAATAATTCTGAATTATGAATCTTATATCAATGAAATTTGTCACAATATAAAACATATGCTTGTTTTATATTTAAAATATTATTTTACGATATTTTTAATTCTCCATGTTTTTTTATGTTTAATATTTTTTTATAATTAATCATATGAATTGAAATAGATCAAATGATTTAGTAAAAAAGATAAATTTAATCTTCATATAATTTACATGCATTAGCAACTGATAATAAATAATATAAAAAAATAATATAATTATTATATTAATTTATTTAAAAAATGTTTTACAATTTTTTAAAAAACATGCTTGAAACTGCTGTTAGTATAATTATATTTCATCATAAAAATGTTATTACAATTAAGATGTTCAATGATGAAAATTAATTTTTATAAATATTGAAAAATAAAAATATTAAGAAGATTTAGAATAATTTAGAAGAAATTTCAATTTTCAAATATACAACTTTTATTGTATATTTTTAATATTTGTATATAGGATTTTACTTTTCATTTTTTTATAATATATCTTATTATCGTATAGTTAAAAAATTTAAAAATTACTTATAATTTTCAACATTTTTCGTATTTTTAATAAAATTTAATAATCTGAAAAGTATTTAATCATAATTTTTAATAATAATTTCAATTATTAAATTTTATTAATTTTTATTAACTATTAACTATTATTTTTAATAATTATTAAAGTACATAAATATACATTAATAATTTATATTTCCTTTTTTTTTTTTAATTACAACATGTATTCTTTTCATATTTTGTATATACTGCATTTGTATACATACTTTATTAAATATTTTTTCCTTTAAATCAGCGAAAATGACTGTTGATATATGCACAAGTATTTTAAATGAACTCTAGATATTTTTAATCATGAGAGAATTGTTTAACTAAGGAATTGTTTAACTTAGGGAAGGAAGTATAGTAAAAAAAATTATAAAATATGTATAATAATTATATAAATTATATTTAATATATCTATGTGAAATATATTGATAATTACTATAATTTGTAATTAAAAATCGGCCTAACTTTTTTGTTCAGGAACTATATAATATAATAATTAATTATCTTAAATTTGTTACTAATAATACTAATAAATATTGTACTTACTTCCAGGAACAACATGAGAATTTTGTTGAATTGAAATTAATTTAATTTTGTTAAAATTATTCACTTTGCACTTTAACATCTTTTCCACTTTCTTATACGAAAACTATATGACAAAGGAAGGCAACGCTTGAAACTCTGACCATCTTGAAACTTTAACCATTTTCTAGGTATAAATGGTAAGACCTTTGTACCTCGACTTTTCTATATCAGAATACCCAATCTATATATATATATATAGTGTTGTTCATTGTATTGAATCACCAATTCCAAAACACTCGTGTACATGAGAGGGGCAGCGATCACAGCTATTGGCTGATGTCAAGCATAAGCAGGGATGTATTTATATGAACGCATCACCCTTACAATTTAAATTTTTATTTGCTTTTTATCACTATATGATGAGTATATTTAATTTTTATTTATTTATTTATAATATATTTATTTTACATATCTATTATTATAACATTTATAATAGAATTATTATTATAGAAATTAACATATCCCTAATAGAAAAAATTCATTTTTGAAATTTTGATTATCAATGATTTTTCAAAAATCATTGATAATAATATTAATTAACTTTTCAAAAAATTATTATAGAGTCCGACATAATAACTATAATTATATCCAATAATATTCAGAAATAATTCTTATAATTAAAATATATGAATCGTTATTTTACAGACACATTATAGGTATATTTTCCATTCTATACATTTAACAAATTTTATTTTTTTATAAAATCATTTTCAATGATTTTAGAATTTGAAATTAAATTAAAACTAATTTATTACATAATGTTAAAATATGTATTTTATAATAATATTTATGTATAAAAATAATATTATAAATAAATGATAACAATTATAAATAAATGATAAATGATAACGAAAAATTTATCTAATAAAAATATTATTTATTAATTTCAGATATCAATTGTAAAAAAAGAAAGATGGAGAAATTTAGTCTTACGAAAATAAAAGAAAGCAAAAATTATTGAAACCAAAATGATCATTATTAAATGATGAAATGTTTTTTAAATGATATATGTTTTAAAAAAAGTATGTATTTCTTTTAATTTTTAATTTTGTAACAATGATTTCCAAAATACAATAAATTTTCTAAATTTATTTTACAGTATAAAATATAAATAACAATATGGATTGGAAATTTGTAAATATACCGGATTATTAGAGATAATAAATATATCTGCGCACATTACTCATCATAGACGCACTATTATAAATCCGTTGTTTAATGATAGCATTATAAAATCCAAACGAATAAATATAAAAAAAATTACAAAATACAAAAAATTATACATATCAACAACAATATAATAAAAAAAATATCAATAAAATTTTATAGATATATTATAAATCAGAACTCAAAAAATATGATTTGATTGATAAATCAAAAAGATATATGTATATCTGAGAATTAAAATATACAAATTAATTTTATGAGTATTGCAGTATAATATTATATAAAATATTATATAAAATAATAAATATTATATATAATATTATATTTTATATAAATATAAAAAATATTAATTATACACAGAATTTTCCAAATTTTTCCAAAATAGTGTCATATTCTATGGGTAAAATCAAGAAAAGATTATTATATATATCCTCAATTTTAGATGAAATACATTTATGAAATTTATAATTTTTTATTCTTATTTTCAATTGTTAATTGATAAATTTATATATATATAATTTTGTTTTATACAATTATTATTTAATTATATAAATATATAATAAATAATATAATAAAATATAATATATAATATATAATAAAATATAATAAATATAATAAATATATAAATATATAATTTAATTATATAAATTTATAATTATATAAAATATATTATATAAATCGAAAGCAAAATACAAATTGACAAATCTAACTTTTAAGGATTTAATATAATAAAATAAAAGATATAAAAGATTTTGATTATATATTTTTATTCACATTCTATATAATTATCAATAATAATTTATAGCTGTTTTTTTTTTTTTTTTTTTTTTTGCTTAGAAAATATTTTTAGAAATATAATTTGAAACATAAAAATGACGTTATAAATTCAATTTTTGTCATTATCTTTTTTTTATAAAAATATGTATTTGCATAAAAATCTATCTAAGTCTAAATTTATAAAAGAGAATAAAATATTATAGAGAAATATTAAGAGAATAAAATATAAAAGACAATAAAATATTAAGTAATATGTGATTTGAAAAAAAATAAAAATAATCATTTTTTGCAAAATGATAAAAAAATTAGTTAAGTTAAAAAAGAATATAAATATAATTAATTAACATAATGAATAAATACCATAACAACAAACCAAATGTTATATCTTCTTTTTTTTTAAATATTTAACTACGAATTTTCAAAAGAAAAATACATGACATGACATTATCTCCACATACCTCGATTAAGTAGAGGCATGTCACGTGACATGATATATATTATATTGCTTAATATTGGTGAAAATCTAATCACGTGATATATCTTTTCCTAATATACAGTAGCAATTAGAGAATAATGTGACGTCACATATTTTTTTAGAATGTGAAAAGGAAATCTGAATTGAGCTATTTTAAAGAAAGTAGTGTATTTATTTGCTAATGAGATATTCGATTTTTTTAGATAAATTTAGATTAGAAATTTTTTTTTAAGTTAAATTTCTTTAAATTAAAAATTTTGGCAATATTATATATTGTTTCTATTATTTTTTAAAAATATTCGATTTATAATACATCTGTGATTATTAAATAATAAATGATTAAAAATTATAGAAAACAAATTGTTCATTTTATTTTTAATACTTTAAATTATATAAATATACTTATTAATATCCTTGCTTTAGTCGAGTTATAAATCGATGAACATTCCAATGGTTCTTTTACATTTATGATGAAAGATTCAGAAATTTTCAAGTTAATATTTGATACAGCATTATAAATGATTGTATCAATCAGAGCGTATTTTGTATTTTGAAAGAAATTCAATTGATATCAATTCAAAAAAAAAAATTATCAGGATTATTAAAAAAAATTCGTTTAATATTAAAAATATATTTTTAATATACATATTTTCATTATATAATTATATTATATATTTGTACTTTATTTCGATAAAATTTGAACTTGAAAAGCCATTCTATTGTTAAAACCTATATAAAATATTCATTAATTCGTAATATTAATACAATGTTTTTAAAAAAAATTTAAAACAGTATTTATTAAAAAATAATATTTAAAATTTTTTATTTATTTATTTATTAAAATTATATTAATACAATATAAAATTATTTATTAAAATTATATTAATACAATATAAAAATATTAAATATTTATCTTACCTGAATTCTTATCTATAATCCTGGAAATTTAAATCTTTCATAACACGTACGGACCAATAGTTTTATTACTATTTTTATCTGATCAATTGTTTCCACATAAATACTTTGTCAATAATATAATAATGAGAAACAGTTATAAGCGCAGAAAACGTAAAAATTTTCGTGACCTGCCTGCAATGTGTTAAAATATAAAATTTCAAAAATCATACAAAAACAGGTAGAATTTATAAAATTGATAATTACACGTCCTGATAAGCATTGTTTTATTTATCCTGTTGAACTCTTAAACATAATTTAATAATCAGAAAAATCAAATTCGAAAATTATTAAAGGAAACATATATTAATTGAGTTCAGGTTAACAAAAGATTTTTTTTCTATTTTATCAGAAGAATAACAGTAATCAAAAGAATTACAAGGAAAAATTACCAAAAAAAAAATTTATTAGAAAGATAATTGAAATAATATAAGCTTTATTACTCGCAATTATTAAGTGGTCATGAAATTTATAATTTGTGATTATTCAATGAAAATTTTCTTGCAAGCAAATCTTTCTTTTATTATTGTCAGTTGGTCGTCTATTGTAATAAAGAATATATATAGGATATATATAAGATAATCCAAAGAACAATGGTGAAAAAAGTATTTAAAAAAAGATAAGTAGAGTATTTAGAATTATCTATTTTTTAGAATTAGTTTGTCTAGATAATTTTAGGAAGGTAAATTCTGAGATTTGAAATAGCATTCTGAATAATCTTAAAGACAATATTATCCTACATTGGAAAAAGTATTATAAATTGATTCATCAATACAATTCTTTTTTTACGATATTTTCTAGAAATATAATTTTCTTTAGATTTACGCAGTGTTATTAGGTTTTATATGTTCCATCGCAAAATTATTCATAATGAAACACAACTTTCCAAATAACTATAGAGAATTTCCATAAGCACAAACTTTCTTTTTAATTAAATTAAAGTGAAAAAAAAAATAATAAAAGTTTGTAGAAGATACATTGTTATTACCTGGCGGCTGACTACCTAAGACTTAGAAAAATAAGTATATCCTCGTTGAAGATAGAATTTATGTGCTTTGAATTTAGTATTTATTGTCAGAGATATATACAAAGATTTAGTATTTATTATATTATTATCAAAAATGTATACAGTCTCTAACAATTTTAAAACATATATATTATTTTCAATGAAATTCAATTTCTTTTATTGAATTCAATTGAGATACCATTTTAGAATTTTTTCATTCATATTTCGTATAAAAATATATAGAAATAAATCAGAAAAGGCAAATCTAATTCAAATCCATTGAAAAAACGATTCAAAGAAAAATGGGGCAATCAAGATTGGCAAACAATGATAGTTTCAAATGTTATAGTTTCAAATATTTGTAAAATCAGTTGATCAATTAAAGATATAGGTGGCAGCACTAGGATTAATGGTCACTATAACAAACTAATATATATAAAAAAGATATATTGATCTTATTATCATCAATATCATTTTTTTAATTCTTCAAGAAAATAATTACAATGTTATTAACAAAATGTCAAAAATTCCTCCTGGACACAGCTCATCCGAAAGTTTCAATAAAAATCTTATATGAACTAATAACGATATATTGCCTGAAAAAGAAAGAAATCATTTAAAAAATCTTTAATATCAATTCATATTTCATTCATTTTATTTATTAAAGTAAATGAAAAAGTAAAAAAAAGTTCAATTAAGATCCACAAAGTTTATATATTAGGAGATATTCGAATTCATATCAAATTTTTGAAAAATAGTATAAAAAATTCAAAGAAACTCAACAAATAGTCTCGATAAAACTTTATAAAAAATAAAAATTTAGTAAAAATAAAAATTGTATAACTAATGTAAATAAAATTAATTATTATGATTGTCAATCATGATTCTTATATCAATGTAGATTAATATCAGTCTGGGATTAAATTTATACATCAAAAATTTTATTTTTAAATATTAACTTAAACTATTATATAGTCTTTACTTTAAGTTACATGATATATAAATCGTATTACATGATATTAAATCTTATATAAACTCAAGAATGATTAAATTAAAT